AWTTYYCMWWWTWWTWAAAAARRARSMAAAGTAATATGTGGTGGTTATTAAGTTTTGAAAATGTACTAAATATAGTGTTATTACAATAATACTGATTGTAAAAATCATTTTATATTTAAAATTACACACCATCGAAAAACAATATACCTAATTTTATCAATTAAAAATTAGTATTTTTTACTTACGAATTCGGTATATTTATGTTCATGTTAATAGTTGGCTCTGTAATATCAACGATGTGTTTCTCGCAAAGATTTAACTTATGACATCGGTATGCCGTAAATTCACTTGAATTTTTCAACGAATCCATCAAATAATTTAGAACTACTATATGACCGCATACTGAAAACATTTTTTTTATTTTAGTCAAAATGCATAATAATCTTTGTTTTGTTTTTTTTTTAACTAAAAATACTATTTAAAATACTACAGTTATAAGTTTTACACTATATCAGCATATAATTTCATAATGGACTGACCCAAAGTTATTTTTATTAAATTATAACTTGTAAACATATAATAATATGATGTTCTATATTACATTATACATAAGTTACAGCATCCAATCAACACAATTCTGCGTTATTATTGGTATATATTTTTTTTTTTCGATAACTTGATAAATAATGAAAATCCTTAAATCTCCGTCTGCACAAGCTAAGACAACTACTCCGCTCTAAAATCTCACTTGAAAACAAAATGTTAATTTATAAACAATTGATACGCCCGGCAATGACGTATGGCATCCAATTATGGGGTTCTACAAAAATGTCTAACCTGAAAATATTCCAAGCTTTCCAATCCATAAACCTTCGTCTCCTCACAAACGCCCCATGGTATGTAAGTAACAGACCCCTACACCATGATCTCAACGTTCCAACGATATCTGCACTAGCTTTGTACAACTATAATAACTTCCACAAAAATGTCCTAAATCATCCTAATCCTCTAGTCGCCAAGCTAGCATCTAAAACCCTACCTGACAACCCTCCCCGTCGTATAAAACGAAAATAGCCACGTGATCTTCTAACTAAATAAATCAAAATTTTTATTATAAATACATTTATTATGTACAATAAAAATGTAATTTAATCAAAGTTCATATTGGAAGTAGTGTCAATGGACTCTCCCTTCCCTCAAGCCGTCCAGACTGGTAAAAATTTTATCTAAATTACTTATTGTATTATGTTATACAGATTGTATATTTTTTCTATTTTAATAAAAAAAAAAACTTGATAAATATATTTAAGTATATTATATCTAAGCTGTAAATATTATGAGTACCATGGTAAATTCAATAATATTTTACAACACAACTCTGGCCTCTGTAAAAATATCAGCAGCAGCGTAGTTACATCACGTATATTAGCTACACAACACAGGTTTTTACAAGAGAACCATGTGAGGCCAGTTGTTGTTATTGATTTATTTATTTTTACGTTCAATATTTTCTCTCTATATTCAGCACAAACACGCACATACTTATCATTACGGACTTGACGTATCCATCGCGATTAATAACTGTACAAACAACTCTTATCCGACGGTGTGGGTACGATGCACCAATGTCATATATAGTCATATATCTAAGCCGCTAGTCGTCGTCCCGTTGAAAATGGTTTATATTGTAGTAGATTTATTGTAATATTTCTACTTTATTTTTGGAATATTGACTTTAAAATCAATCGGATTGTCTGTAATATCAATAAATAACGGAAACAATACTACAAAAATATTGGCTCATCCAATAAAATTGCATCAAMYATGCTATAGTAAATAGTTAGGTTAAGTTACATGTATTATTTAATACTGTACAATTTCCGTTATTACAATTTTTCAAAACATTTATAAAAATATTGAGTTTAAGCATATTTTTTTATTAAATATACACATATTGCATATACAATAGTTATACAATATCAATTAATATTTGAATTGTAAATGGTTTTGTAGAATATGAATATAATTTATTCARATAATTATTAAGTAAATATTGTAAATATWATAGCTAATAGGTTTATTAAGACAGAATACTGTTTACCGATCATGTATTGTGTATGTTTATGAAATGAATATTAGGTAATATAGAACATTATACGGTACAATATTATTCTAAAATTTACTTACTACTGTAGTATTTTTCAATTAATAAGTTATTAAGATATTCGATAAATACTTATTATTGCCTACTTAAACTTTGTTACAGTATACATTATAATATACCTACATACATAATATCTCTTATTTTCTTATTGCACTTGTCTTTTAAAAAAATTGTATTTATAAACGCTATTTATTGCTCATACTATTTAGAAAAACTATTCGACAGTACAATTTAGTAGATGCTTATTTAGAATACATATCAAAACATTAACATATGTAATATTTCAGAATACTACTCGTATTTATTTATTTTTTTAATTTAATAAACAAATTATATTTTAAATCCATACGGTTATTAAGAAAAAAATTGACTAATCAAGACAATAAAAATTATTAGCTCATGCGTTATAATTTCTTAACATCAGTAAAATTGAATTCGTTAAATTAAAATTATATGTTACACAAACTTACATATTTAATCGATAAGTTATCTTTAAATAAAATATCAACTCACAATATAACTTAATTTTAACTTTTTATGCTGTTGAAATTCCAATCAAACATTAATATTTATTATGTTTCTAATAGTAAAAATAATTTTTTTTTACTATTAATTATTATAGAAAAACTAAGTGAAATTACTTTTATATCTAATTTCGGTAAAATTTCGCTAAGACGGAATCGCTTGGGACAGTCTAATTTTTCCGCTTTAACGATRAGTTTCCGACTTAACAAGGTTCACATTAATTATGTATTTGAGTTGRGACCAAAGAAATTGTCTGTGTTATCAGTGTTTCTGTCTTACAGAAGTTTTGTCTTTCTGAAATTTTACTCTAACTTGAAACTTTTAAAATTAAAAAAAATCATTCTCTACCTAACTTTAAACTTTACTCCCTGTTCCTATATAAACCAAACTTAACGAGTTAAATTTTCTAGCCTTGCTAATTGATAATACACCTTATAATAACATATTATGAAATCATATTTATTTTTTACGAACATATGAAAATGTACAATCACGTGTGCATTTAYTTCAATTAATTTTTARTGATAAAGAAATTGTAATATTATAAAAGTCTTTTACAGAGCTTAGGATTCGCTTTTCAACGAAGATAAGCTGAGAATTTGGTCCTAAAGTTTGTTTACACTATCCGACGGTAACTCGAATATCGCACTCAAACATTTGAGGCACAATGGTATAAGTTTTAATGATATTACAATCGGCACGTATACCCGAGTTTAAAATCGACAGCCGTAGCTCGTCGTTGTCGTCATCTGTATAATAATTATTACCATAGTTCACGAACGACAAATCATGTTACAAATCTCTGTCACGTATCAATTTTATAGGCCATCAAAAGTCATTCGTTATATAACACACACACACATTTATAGGTACTAAATAATATTATGTATTTTATATTTTACATTCGTTATATTTCGCAAATAAAAATGTATTTATAATTCCATAAGATCAAGATCAAAGTACAATTCGTTTTAACTGYTATTATTATAATAATAGTTTTTTGTTAAATATATAAATTTCGATGAAAAGTCATATAATATCTACAATAAACGACGATGCCCCAACTGTTTAGATGCATAAATTATTTATACCAATGAGTATACACTCTCAGTGGTTATACGTAGRCAGTATCTTGTTCATAAATAATTCACGACTTAACCGTCAAAAATAGAAATTAATCGATACAGCTTGAAGATTTGATAAAGCATTACCATAATACAAAACGCAAGTGAGAAAACATAGAACAAAAATATCAATAATTCGAATAACAGAAATACACGTTGTAACGCTCAAACAAAAGTATATCGATGATCGACTCTAATATATTTTAAATACGCTAAATAGCTATATTCCATAGAATTATCTTTTACGTCTAATAAGCTCATACAAATAGTAGCTATATAGTTATTTAATATAAATAACTCATCCAAAGACATATAATTAAGAATCCAACAAATTTGAAAACTATTTTGAAATTAGGTATTATACACAACCATCATAAAAAATAAAGTATTTTCTTTTTAATAGTTTATTTCGTAGGCATCTACATTATTAACTCTGTAAATTGAGAACTGATTCTAATTAAACACTCAAAAGACTATCACTAACAATTTGGATTTTACTATTTTACAATTTTCCAATAATTAGGAACCTATAAGAATGACATAATTYTATTATAAATTAATAATTTTCCAAAACCATTTTTGAATTTATAAATTTTTAAATACAACTTATTGACTGGGTTGTGGAACACAATAGATTACATTGAATTACACATATTATGTTTGGTGATTCGTTCAGAGAACATTATCGGGCAAACGTGTAAAATAAAAATTATACAATAACAATAAACTCGTG